GTTTCGTTGTTGGCTTATCAAACTGATGCTCGTTATCAGTGGAAGATAAGAGACGAGAATGATCACTATAACCCAAGTATCCCAATAAATCACAACATCAGAGTTCATTCCTGGAAACATGTATTTTGTGGTGCATGTGGTATAGTATTTTGTGGTGTGTATGGTATTGTTTATTTTGTGGTGTGCATGGTAATGGACTGAATCGACTTGAGAATGGTCTAGGACGGACCGAAACGTCGTCGTCCCTTCACCTTCTAGTGTGTGGTCTGGTCAACATGGTAATGGACTAGTGTGGTCAAGCATGGAGACCTAATCTTCATAATGCCATATCTGCCTTGGAGAAAGTTCAACACGCGGCGGCAAAAATCATCCCAGAACTAAGTGGACTTTCACGCCAGGAACGGTTGTGAGGGCCACAGGGCTAACAATTCTGCAAACCAGACATGATATGGCGGATCTCATCGAAACTTTTATTATTCTAAACAATTTGGAGGTAACTGATCCAGACCACGTCTTTAACGTGTCACTTGTAACCCACACAAGGAGGCCACACACTTGGGGCTAGCCTCATCCAGCTTTGCAGGAGGAAGGTTTTGGGGGATGGAATGGACATAGGTTGGTCAGGGAAGACATTAGTAAAATGCTTTAATAAATATTAGCAATTATAGACCCCCTTCCCCATACGGTTTTCACGGGAGTCAAGTGTGTCAAATGTGAAATATTTGGTGTGAGACCCTTAGAGCTTATATTTATTGTAATAATATATTTCATATTTTCTGAGAGATTCATACAGTATTTTGAGTGCTTCTTAATGTTTTTCTTCTTAGTGTAGCTACCTGAATACCGACGTAGCCGCCACGAAGGCGCTAAGAAGGAAAACCTTCGTAAGTACCTTCGTGAATCTGGCCCCAGCACTCCAGTGCCTTGTATTTACATTCCAGTTTATGTGATCATTCTATCGACTTCACAGGGGGCAAAATGTATTATATATATATATATATATATATATATATATATATATATATATATATATATATATATATAGAAGAAGGGGGACCCATAGCCTCGGAGGAAACCACGCATAACACATTAGAGGGAATGTTTAGGGAATATATATATATATATATATATATATATATATATATATATATATATATATATATATTCTGTATATATATATATAATGTCTGTTCGAGTTTGGTACCCTCCTAGTATACTATAAGATAAAATACGTTTCTTTGTCCAAAGTTGAAGGCCAGGCGCTTGTGGCTAGTCTCACCCAACTTCGTAGGGAAAATGGTCTGGTGTACGGGACCGACATAGGATGGTTGGGGTCGGCCTAAGTTAGCCAATGTAAGAAATATCAGTTTGTAGCCCAACCACATCATGCAATTTTCACGAAGTCTGTGTCTTTCATGAGGTTCACTTCTCACTGTCCTCAGTGAAAATTAAATACCAACTCTTTCATTCCCCCAAAAAACTAAGCTGTTAATTTCCAAGAAATCAACAGTTCCCCTCAAAACCAAAAAACAAAAAACAATTTTACTCACGCTAAACACTTAAACATAAAAATAAACATTACATTCAGTCCTAAATGCATAGGGGTATGTAAGAGATTTTGACGAAATGAAATAATATATTCAAATAACAAATCACGTTAATGAAAATATAAGTTAAGTGTATTGCAGGAGAGAATATTATTATTCCAGAACACATAAACAGATCCCCATAACAAAACCTTTACTTTAACGACCCGGCCCCCCCCCCCCTCCCCCACTAAAGACCAGCCAGGCTTTTAAACCCCACAAAAGCAAAACCATCTTTTACGGCTGCCATAAAAGGTGAACACAACACTCTAAAAAAGACTACAGTAGGCGAGAATCCCTTGCTACTAACATTAATTTGAGACCTTGCAAGTGGCACGGGGCCGCCTTCCTATTAGGCGAGTCGCGTAAACTTTTGGAAAATTCATTGTGGAAGATTTTTGAAATTTTATTTTTCAGTTTCCTACCTTCCTCCCCCCCCCCGCCCCCCTCCCCCCCTCCCCTTATACCCCTGTCCCCCGCGAGGCATAAAGTTGGTATTGGGCGCGCTTACGACCCGCCGCAAGTTTCGATCTTGTGGATTGGTGTTGCAAGGTCTACAGTTGTGCTGGTGATGGGTGTGTGTGTGTGTTCCTCTGCCTCTGTGGGATATTGATCTTTTACTCTGTAGGCTGGAGTCTGTAGGCGAGGTGGGGGGGGGGCTGGTACTGGGAGGCTGCCTGGCTGACGGGGAGAGAGAGGGAGGGCAAGAGAGAGAGTGAGCAAGCGAGAGAGTATCAGAGAGAGAGTATGAGAGAGAGAGGGAGAGAGAGAGAGAGAGAGAGAGAGAGAGAGAGAGAGAGAGAGAGAGGGCAAGCGAGAGAGCGAGCGAGAGAGAGTGAGCAAGCGAGAGAGTATCAGAGAGAGAGAGAGAGAGAGAGAGAGAGAGAGAGAGAGAGAGAGAGAGAGAGAGAGAGAGAGAGAGAGAGAGAGAGTGAGCAAGCGAGAGAGTATCAGAGAGAGAACGAGAGAGACAGTAAGCTAGAGAGCGAGAAAGAAAGAGAGAAATCGAGCGAGAAAGAGAGAGCGAATGAGAGTAAGAGAGACAAGAGAGCAAGCGAGAGAGAGAGCTATCTATAACAAGTACATTACTGGTGTTGTGAGACAAGGACAAGTCCCCAGACACACTATAGTGACCTAAGAAAAGCGCAACACATTGCCGCTCGAGTCCTATATCTAGAATATAAAATTAGTAAAAGAATGTTTTATAGAACTGCTCTTTGTAAATGGCTGAAACAAAAGTAACAAAGGCATTAACAAAAGTATACAGAGTCAAAATTTCCATAGAAAATCCAAATATTTTTTCAACAACAACAACAAAAACATTAAAAAATTATTGACTTTATTTGTATACATTTTATTTGCATTTGAAATGGCAAAATACAATAGGAATTGTTGAGCAAGATCATAGGGAGAAGTGGTATGTTTATTTGTATAGTCAGTCATACACTACTCATACACAACCTTACAGCCAGTCATACACGACTGCTCATACACAGCCATACAGCCAGTCATACACTGCTCATACACAGGCATACAGCCAGTCATTCACTGCTCATACACAGCCATACAGCCAGTCATACACGACTGCTCATACACAGCCATACAGCCAGTCATACACGACTGCTCATACACAACCATACAGCCAGTCATACAGACATCTTAGACAATGCAACACATCTTAATGTCATCCAGCCATCAGCAGCAGATACAGACGGTGATGCACAGAACACATCAACATCACCAAGCTTTTGTTACTGCGTACCATTTTAAACGGATTACTTGACTCCGTAAAATATGAGACGTATTGGGTGAGAGGACAGGTTGTTTCTGTGCATAGAGTCCACCCCATATCCACCTTGACCAGTGCGTGGATAGAGTCCACCCACATCCACCTGGAGCAAGCGTGGATTGAGTCCACCCACATCCACCTTGACCAGTGCGTGGATAGAGTCCACCCACATCCACCTTGACCAGTGCGTGGATAGAGTCCACCCACATCCACCTTGCGAGAAGGAAGAGTACCAGCAATGTAGGCAATAGAGCTGTGGAATATATAAATCCATGAGAGAGCGTCAAGGGGAGTCTCCCAGAGAAAGGAATTCGGGTGACATTCCATAGGAAGGGGACGAGGCTGCCTTCCCCTTGTTAGCGAGGCCTCGCTCACGGCTCCCCTCACCCGCTCCCCTTCCTCATACATCACCACTAACTATAATATAAGGCTTTATATATATATATATATATATATATATATATATATATATATATATATATATATATATATATATATATATATATGCTCCCGTTCTCGTACCGTGTTCCCACAAAGGCAATAATACATATAATTCCCACATACAATATTTCCGATACAAACGGCAGTCAGTAAAACTTGAAATAAAATGCAATCAGAACACACGTGGCATCCGCTGTGGCGTTCGAGGGTCATAGTCCTAAGGGCCTGGGTTCGATTCCCGGAGGAAACAAATGATCAGAGTTCTTTTTACCTGAGGCATCTGTTCACCTAGCAGTAAAGAGGTACCTGGGAGTTAGACACCTGCTACTAGTTGCTTCCTGGGGATATATATGTGTGTTAGATATAATAGAGGAAAAATTGATTGGTTAGAAAGGCAGATTCCAAGAGCTATTAGCTCGATTCTACACAAATAGTAAATACACAGGCGCGCGCTCGCTTGTGGTACACAAATTTCATAGGCATGATTCTCTTCCCGTACGATGTGGTGAGTTCGGTAACACTGTTCCCGAACTTTCTAGATACACACTCCCGTATTTGACGCCGTGGGCAGCGATCGTGGCCATAATGGCAATGTTTACTGCGTATATCACACACGCGGCGCACCCCTAGCCTATATAACCTGTCCTCACACTTCATGCATTGCTATTTTAACGCTGTCCGGTTCATTGTGTACCTCACAGGCGGAGAGTGGACGTCGTCTGGCGGACCTTGCCTGTCCTCCCGCTTATTGGCTGGCCATTGGCATCTTATTCCAGGTGTATTGAAGTTTAATGCATTGTGATATTGACGGTTAATTGCACTAATGAGTAGCTTTATTCTGTCTGAACACCGTTGATCTGTCTGAGCACCGTTGTTGATGTATCTGAACACCTTTGTTGATGTATCTGAACACCGTTGTTGATGTATCTGAACACCTTTGATCTATCTGAACACCTTTGAAATACCTGAACGCCGTTTAGATTAACTCAAGATTGAGTTAAGATTAAGATAAGATTAAGATTGAGTAACAGATTGACTGGGAACAAATAAACCAAGACCTCACAGACATAAGCTGGGAAGAACAACTAGAAAATGCCAACCTAAATCAGTGCCTGGAGAGCACAGGCTGGCTGGCACAGGAAATATGCTCAAGACGCAGACCACTAAGACACGAAAAGGAAGAGATGCAGACTGGAACGGGAACTCCCCGTCCCCTATCCAGGAGATCAGGTAACCCAGCGCCTGACCCCACTCCTAGGAGATCAGTTAACCCAGCGCCTGACCCCACTCCTAGGAGATCAGTTAATTCAGCGTCTGACTCCACTCCTAGGAGATCAGTTAACTCAGCGCCTGACCCCACTCCTAGATCAGTTAACTCAGCTCCTGACCCCACTCCTAGGAGATCAGTTAACCCAGCGCCTGACCCCACTCCTAGGAGATCAGTTAACCCAGCGCCTGACCCCACTCCTAGATCAGTTAACTCAGCGCCTGACCCCACTCCTAGATCAGTTAACTCAGCGCCTGACCCCACTCCTAGGAGATCAGTTAACCCAGCGCCTGACCCCACTCCTAGGAGATCAGGTAACCGAGTGTGGAAATCATGTAATGATGTGACGTATGCCAGTCAAGTGCGTGATTGACCGTTAACCAGGAGTCATGGAAGCGTGTACTGGCAAGGGGGTCAAGCCTCAGCTGTTCCAGAAAAGAAATGCCAGCGTTGTGGACCAACGGCCAAAACACCGCTGGAACATTCAAATTCAAATTCAAATTTGTATTCAGGTAAAAGTACATACATAGAAGATGAATTACAAACATAATGTTGGATTTATAGACAGAGTTAGTACATATAATACAAGCCAACATACGAGTCATGCATTCATCCAGCGCCCATATCTGACGGAAGTGAGGAGCACTTAGTGGGCCAGCCAGAGGCCTGAGGCCCGCGCAGCAATATCCTTAAGCAAAAAGTTGGAAACAAACATGATTTAGCTGGGATTGTATCAGGTGTGGAGAGTGATAGATCATGTTTAACGTTGTATTATGCTGGCATAACTTGTATGGCGGGCGTCACTTCCTGTCTGTCTGTCTCACTCTCCAGCTGGCGGCCTGAGGGTCCTTGCCGGCAAGGTCCAGCAGGGACCGGACCCTGCCAGCAAGGGACTGACACTACTGACAAGGGACTGGACTTTGGGCGTTTTTTAATTTTGTTTCCAGACCAGCAGGGTCTTTCCTCGACCTTGCCCGTAAGGGACCGACCCTGCACGCCCACACAGCCCCTGCACGCCCACACAGCCCTGCACGCCCACACAGCCCTGCACGCCCACACAGTCCTGCACGCCCACACAGCCCCTGCACGCCAACACAGCCCCTGCACGCCAACACAGCCCTGCACGCCCACACAGCCCTGCACGCCCACACAGCCCCTGCACGCCCACACAGCCCTACACGCCCACACAGCCCCTGCACGCCAACACAGCCCCTGCACGCCCACACAGCCCTGCACGCCCACACAGCCCTGCACGCCCACACAGCCCTGCACGCCCACACAGCCCTACACGCCCACACAGCCCTGCACGCCCACACAGCCCCTGCACGCCAACACAGCCCCTGCACGCCCACACAGGCGTGCAGGACTCCACAGCCCCGAGTCTGACAATAAGGCCGGTGGCAGGCAATGATTGGACGTACAGGACCCAATATTCAAAAAAATGGTGAGATATTGAAGCGAGGCGGGGGTTAAGCTGCTCTTGTTAGCTCTGACGGAGGGGGGAGGGGGAAGGGGGGGGGCGGGAGGGGGGAGGTGGAGTGGTGGGGGGAAGGGGAGAGGAGCGGGGGAGATATACTGGATTGTGAGGGGTTTAGAGAATGGGGAGGGAGGAAGGAGAGACAGAGAGATAAAGAGTAACAAATAGAAGGAGTGAAATAGATAGCGTGAGAGAGAGTGATAGAGAGAAATGATAGATATTATTCGTTCTATCAGGGACAGGAAGCAATTCAATGTGTATAAAATACTTTAGGGTTGTGTGGAGGACGTTGCCCAAGGTGGAGCCATCCTGACTTTCCCCCTGGAGACAGTCTCACCACACTGGTCCAACGCCCAGGCATGTGAACACGTGCATTAGGTGCAAGGAAACACCCCCAACCGTTTCTGACCCATCTGGGAACGGGATTGTGAGTCGAGAACGAAGAGCTAATAAAAGGGAAATGAATGGCACTTGGGATGAAAAGAGGCTAAGAGGAGAGGAAAATGGAGGAGGGGAAAATAGAAGGAAGAAAGAGAGAGGGAAGGCCGAGGCAGGGAAAAATATATCGTCTACAAGGTATTTGGATAAGACTGAAGATGGCAGCGCTGGGAGGCTGTGAAAAGCTGGGTGGGATGTGGGGCTGTGGGAGAGAGAGCAAGTGTTATAATTTTTTGACCATCGTCGGCTAATATGTGATCGACAGTATGGTTTTAGAAAAGGCCGATCTGCTGCTGATCTCTCGCTAAATCTCTCCACTAAATGGCATCAGTCACTGGATGAGTCCAAGATCTGCTGTGTTGTTGCTCAAGACACAGCAGGAGCCTTTGATCAGGTCTGGCACTCTGGAGAAGTAGTCCAGCTTAAGTCACTAGGCATCTCATGGTCCATCTAAGAGTTAATAAAAGACTACCATCAAGAACGGACTCTAAGGGTAGTCCTCGATGGAGCAGAATACGTAAGCCACTCAATTGGTGCCAGCGGCCCACAGGGTAGTGTGCTTGGCCCTCTGTGGAATGTCTATTTCAACGATCTACTTCATCTCATTCCTAAAGCTCAAGCCTATGCTGATGACTGCACTCTTCACATACTGAAAGGAAGAAATGCCAACTGCTCCAAGAATCATCAATCACAAACGTTCAGCGATGTCTACCACCCCCTGAACACCACCACCCCCCCCCCTGAACACCACCAGACCCTGAACACCACCACCACCCCCTGAACACCACCAGGGCCTGAACACCACCACCCCCCCCCCTGAACACCACCAGACCCTGAACACCACCACCCCGTGAACACCAGTGATGGTGTTCACTGCCTATAGCCAGGTCTTATGACAGGGGAGTGACTGGCTGCTTTTTTAAAGGTTGGTGAGGATCACGGAGGAGGGGGAGAGGAGGGAGGCCTGGTTGGGTGGGGGAAGATGTGAAGGGTGGGGGGGTGTCGCGTGGGGGGGAGGCATGGGCAGGGGAAGGAGTGGGTGAGCTTTCAGAGGAGGGGGAGTACGGGTGAGGGGGAGTCGTGAAGAGAAATTAAAAGTGAATAAAGATGGATGGGGAAGCAGAGGAAAAAGGGGGAGGTATGGGGGAGGGGAGAGGAGAAAGGGGAAGGTATGGGTGGGGAGAGGAGAAAGGGGGAAGATAAGAGGAATTGTGTACAAAGGCAGGTTAAAAGATTGAAGATGGATAGAAGAATATGGCATTCTTAGATGATGATAGGAGTGAGAATGTTGGGGTGTAAAGAGGAGTGAGGAGGGGGAGGGATGCTGGGGTGTAGATGGAGAGAGAGGGGGATGCAAATGTGTAGAGGGAGAGAGAGAGAGAAAGAGAGAGAGAGAGACGGGGGGTGCAAGTGTGTAGAAGGAGAGAGAGGGGGGGGGAATGCTAGTGTGTAGGGGAGAGAGAGAGAGTGAGAGGGGTGGATGCAAGTGTGTAGGAGAGAGAGAGACGGATGCAGGCGTGCAGAGGGGGAGTGTGGAGGAGAACACACCCTAGAAACTTAAAATGATGCGAGAAGTGAGTGAAGGAGAATGTTACGGCCAGCTTGGGCCAGTAACAAGGTTCTTGCTGTTATAACTTCTTCTATACCCAACCCCAAGTCGGTGGTAAGCTTTCAAGAAACTGGCTGAGGCAAGTAGTAGTGCAAAGAATAAAGGGGGGGGGGATAGACAATACACAATTACACCTTCACCAATATATATATTATATAAAAGTATTACAACACATATTTACAAAGTGTCGCTTTCACTCAGGACACAATACATCGGCAGTGATCATCAAATCCCGGTGAATCCACTTTCCAAGTGCACGTCGTCTACACCTAATGGCAAACACCGACGAGTTCAACTTCCTTAACATGGGCCAGTCCACACACACTGTATCGCCACGATGTGCCAATACCCCACCTCCGCTCTCCAGATACACACTGGCAGAGGGTTTCAGCAACATGCTGACAGGGGTCTCAAACAATCGCATACAGTAGTAGCTAGCACCCTGGCAGAAGTCTCTAGCAGCTCACTAGCAACACTTCTCAACAGACGCACCACTGTCGTCTTGTAACTCTTCCTGGCCAATCCTGGGTACATCGGTCCATACAGTACTGCATAAACCCAGCAGATAACACACTGCTATAACCGACGGCGGCCACTTTGTCCTCTCGCAGGACCAAGACAAGAGTTCAGGACTGCCCAAGGTGAACTGCCTTTCTCAGCACAATCACCTCCTTACTTCACCTCTGTGAACATAAAACGTCATTAACTAGACAGACAGTATACTGGGTGACCGTATGATAACACCCATCCACCAGGAACTTGAAATTGAAAATTGTAGCCACAACCTAGATGACGTTGATCTCAATACGCCACCATCCAGAAGTTGGAGGTTTCCTGCCTCTAACTGAGGCAGGAAACCAGAGCCTTTCACCTGATGCCACGCCACCACCAACAGATGGCGTCTGCGTTGCAGACGTTGCATCGAAACACCACCGACAGATGGCGTTGATCTGCGAGTGCAGATCCATAGATGGCGCAGAAATCGCCACTCCATACTCCGGCGACGGTACATACCGTAACAGGGAACCTGAGGAGAAATAAAGTGAAGAGGGGGAAAAATAGTAAGGTAGAAGATGAGGAGAAATTGCTTACTGTAAAGGAAAGGAATCGACAAGAATGTAAGGTGCAGGGATAAAGCAATAAAGGGAGGCACGGGTGACATAAATGAGAATGAGAGGACATGGTAATGATAGAGAGGAGGGGAAAGTGAGAGGTTTAGGGTATGTGAGGCCAGACCCTGATGAATGGCCGCTTTAGTATCTATTGTTTGATAATTATTAAGTCTCGCAGTATCTTACACACTCACTAAAGTTCAACCTGAGTAAATGTAAGGTAATGAAACTAGACGGAGGAAACAAGAGGCCAGACACAGGATACCGAATGGGAGATGAAGTCCTTCATGAAACGGGCAGAGAGAAAGATCTACTTGTATAAATGTCATATGCGCTTGACTGGTTGCTCCAAAATATATACATATAAACATTTAAGAGAGGGTATAATCACACACAACTGATATTCTTGATGAAAATGCTTACGACACTAATATAGAGTTCTTTCTGTATCTAGGTAAAACACTCAGTGTCAGAGTGAAGGTCACACTCCCTCTGGGTTCTGGTTGTGTAACAGAGTAATTACAACACAGCCTTTTGCCTCGTTGCACAGAATAAGTGACAGCAATGCGGCTGAAAACAGATAGCTCAGCTCTGGCATTTTTCATTTATTGCCAGGAAACGTTGAAATGTTAAAAAAGTAGCTTACCTGACATATTTATTAACTTACCTGACCTCACATGACCTTGCCTGACCTCACATGACCTTGTCTGACCTCACATGATCTTGCCTGATCTCACATGACCTTGCCTGACCTCACATGACCTTGTCTGACCTCACATGATCTTGCCTGATCTCACATGACCTTGCCTGACCTCACATGACCTTGCCTGACCTCACATGAGGGTGGATCAAGCAGCCCAGGGTGTGGCTGAGGGTGGATCAAGCAGCCCAGGGTGTGGCTGAGGGTGGATCAGGCAGCCCAGGGTGTGGCTGAGGGTGGATCAGGCAGCCCAGGGTGTGGCTGAGGGTGGATCAGGCAGCCCAGGGTGTGGCTGAGGGTGGATCAAGCAGCCCAGGGTGTGGCTGAGGGTGGATCAAGCAGCCCAGGGTGTGGCTGAGGGTGGATCAGGCAGCCCAGGGTGTGGCTGAGGGTGGATCAGGCAGCCCAGGGTGTGGCTGAGGGTGGATCAAGCAGCCCAGGGTGTGGCTGAGGGTGGATCAAGCAGCCCAGGGTGTGGCTGAGGGTGGATCAAGTAGCCCAGGGTGTGGCTGAAGGTGGATCAGGCAGCCCAGGGTGTGGCTGAGGGTGGATCAGGCAGCCCAGGGTGTGGCTGAGGGTGGATCAAGTAGCCCAGGGTGTGGCTGAGGGTGGATCAGGCAGCCCAGGGTGTGGCTGAGGGTGGATCAAGCAGCCCAGGGTGTGGCTGAGGGTGGATCAAGCAGCCCAGGGTGTGGCTGAGGGTGGATCAAGCAGCCCAGGGTGTGGCTGAGGGTGGATCAAGCAGCCCAGGGTGTGGCTGAGGGTGGATCAAACAGCCCAGGGTGTGGCTGAGGGTGAATCAAGCAGCCCAGGGTGTGGCTGAGGGTGGATCAAGCAGCCCAGGGTGTGGCTGAGGGTGGATCAACCAGCCCAGGGTGTGGCTGGTGGATCACAAGTTGTCACGGGCCCTGAATATTGTGTTAAGGGGCCTACCCTCCTCCCTTCCTGACGCCAGCCTAAAAGTCATCATCATAGGATCTATTTTCACACAATTAAATCAAAGTTTTGAACCTTACAGGCGAGGGGAAACCCGAGTACGAAATTCATCTTGGTGCCGTCACGGGAGCCCAAGTCGTCACCTGAACCTCGTCTCTAATTAAAAGTCGCAGAAGAAGGTTAGGAATAAAGATGGAGTTTTCTTGCTCCCCGACAAACAGCCAAATGAAGACAAATCAATATGCGACAAGTCTTCCTGCGAGTGTCTTCACGGTTGCCAAAATCTTGGTTGCAAAATACGAGCAGTGATCGATTTGAGGGCTCGTGAGGGGCTCAATATGAGCCGCGTGCTCGCCAATTGGTAAAGATCTCGCCGGTATATGAATGGCAGCAACATCCCCTCAGATTCATATTATCGTCTCCTCAATTAGTGGGTAAAAACTCCCCGACTGGACAAGAGGTGAAAGCCTCAGCGACCACAGTGGCAACAGGAGTCCCAACACCACCAGACCTGGAGCCGTGCTCCTCCTGACTCCACCTCCCCCGCCGGCGGTGGGCGGGGCTACTGGCCAACCGGCACTCTGATTGGCTGACGTGGCTCCTCCCTGAGGGGACGAGCGAGGGGAGGCGGTGGTAATATTTAGGAGGTACGGGGCATGAATGAGCTATGTGCGATATATTACAAGGCTCACTAACACATGACACCCAACACCGAGAATGGAACTTAGTGGCTCTGTAGATTAACACTACATGACGCTGCACATTAACACACCAACGTTTGTTGACTATAAAGTTGGGTTGATGTTACCGTCGACGATGTTACGGTGATGTTACCGTCGTCGATGTTACGGTGATGTTACCATGGACTATGTAACACCAGGTGGTGTTATAGTGACCAGAAAATGTTACAGTGACCTGGTGGTGTTACTGTGAACTGGTGGTGTTATAGTGACCTGGTAGTGTTACAGTGACCTGGTGGTGTTACATTGACCTGGTGGTGTTACAGTGATATGGTGGTGTTACAGTGACCAGGTGGTATTATAGTGACCTGGTGGTGTTATAGTGACCAGGTGGTGTTACAGTAACCAGGTGGTGTTATAGTGACCAGGTGGTGTTACAGTGACCTGGTGGTGTTACAGTGACCTGGTGGTGTTACAGTAACCAGGTGGTGTTACAGTAACCAGGTGGTGTTACAGTGACCAGGTGGTGTTACAGTGACCAGGTGGTGTTACAGTGACCTGGTGGTGTTACAGTAACCAGGTGGTGTTACAGTAACCAGGTGGTGTTACAGTGACCAGGTGCTGTTATAGTGACCAGGTGGTGTTACAGTGACCTGGTGGTGTTACAGTGACCTGGTGGTGTTACAGTGACCAGGTGGTGTTACAGTGACCTGGTGGTGTTACAGTGACCTGGTGGTGTTACAGTGACCTGGTGGTGTTACAGTAACCAGGTGGTGTTACAGTGACCAGGTGGTGTTACAGTGACCAGGTGGTGTTACAGTAACCAGGTGATGTTACAGTGACCAGGTGGTGTTACAGTGACCAGGTGGTTACAGTGACCTGGTAGTGTTACAGTGACCTGGTGGTGTTACAGTAACCAGGTGGTGTTACAGTGACCAGGTGGTGTTATAGTGACCTGGTGGTGTTACAGTGACCTGGTGGTGTTACAGTAACCAGGTGGTGTTACAGTAACCAGGTGGTGTTACAGTGACCAGGTGGTGTTACAGTGACCAGGTGGTGTTACAGTGACCAGGTGGTGTTACAGTGACCTGGTGGTGTTACAGTAACCAGGTGGTGTTACAGTAACCAGGTGGTGTTACAGTGACCAGGTGGTGTTACAGTGACCTGGTGGTGTTACAGTGACCTTGTAGTGTTACAGTAACCAGGTGGTGTTACAGTGACCTGGTGGTGTTACAGTAACCAGGTGGTGTTACAGTAACCAGGTGGTGTTACAGTGACCAGGTGGTGTTACAGTGACCTGGTGGTGTTACAGTGACCTGGTAGTGTTACAGTAACCAGGTGGTGTTACAGTGACCTGGTAGTGTTACAGTAACCAGGTGGTGTTACAGTGACCTGGTAGTGTTACAGTAACCAGGTGGTGTTACAGTAACCAGGTGGTGTTACAGTAACCAGGTAGTGTTACAGTGACCAGGTGGTGTTACACAAGTAACATAATATGCAACTATTTAGGGAAACTGCTTAGTTTCTCAGATTGCTCAGGAAAATAATGAAATAATTTTCAATCATATACCTAAGGTTTTATTTCATCCTTTTGTTCAACATTTAACACTTCCAATGTGAGCTTGAGAGAGAGAGAGAGAGAGAGAGAGAGAGAGAGAGAGAGAGAGAGAGAGAGAGAGAGAGAGATTGAGAGAGTGAGAGAGAGAGAGAGAGAGAGAGAGAGAGAGAGAGAGAGAGAGAGAGAGAGAGAGAGAGAGAGAGAGAGAGAGAGAGAGAGAGAGAGAGTGAGAGAGAGAGAGAGTGTGAGAGAGAGAGAGAGAGTGAGAGAGAGAGAGAGATATATATATATATATATATATATATATATATATATATATATATATATATATATATATATATATATATATACGGACCAAGTTAGGGCTAAACTAAAAAGACATAACGGAAAGGGAGGAAAAAAAACATAACCCAGAAAGTACGACAATTAGGAAGAGCAAATAGAGCATAAGACAACAGCAATACTGGTCACCAGTACACAGAGGGGTTGTCACCAAGCGCACAACACAACTGTGAGAAAAACCCGGGAAAATGCTGGAGATAAAACAAAAAACAGAATAAAAATAGCGCGGGAAAGCGATTGTGGGCGCCCGCGGAAGGCGCCACTTAATGAGATTTCCCGCCAAGTTTGGCCCCCCGGCGGGACACTCCCATATTGTTTGTAAAGTAACCTTGTGAATAAAGATGAAGCCAATATCCCCCCCCCCCCTCAAACTTTTTTTTTTACCTCAAAATTTGCTGCAAAGGATATTACTTTCCTTTATTTTGGACGGGATATAGGTCGAATTATTGTTGACTTTAGTTGAAGATACATATTGACTAAGATTGAAATGTTTCATTTCTGTTCTCTTTTAATAAATCATGCCTACTTGCATGATTTATATAACTTTATGTAGAGTATTCCTGTTAATTACAATCTATATAAACTTCACTTCACTTCTCTCCTGCCTATATATGTCCATATCGTTTTACTTGTAACTCACCCTTCTGAATATGTATTATTAAATACAAAAGTTCGTAGGGAAATTCCTGTTTCAATTCTTCCTCCGTGGTCTGACACACTCACATTTTTCATCACGTTAATTTTTCGTGATTTACACACTTAGGTGAGTACACACCCGGGTTCGGTCCCGGGCGCCGGCGAGTAACGATGGGCAGAGTTTCTTTCACCCTATGCCCCTGTTACCTAGCAGTAAATAGGTACCTGAGAGTTAGTCATCTGTCACGGGCTGCTTCCTGGTGTGTGTGTGTGTGTGTGTGTGTGTGTACTCGCCAGTTGAGCCTGCAGGTTCGACCATCTGGTCTTAAGTGAGGGAGACAGCGTGTAAGGTTGTATAGGGTGTGTGTGTGTGTGGACAACCTGTCCTCTTAAAAAGAACGTCGCTGTTGGCCGTTTGCCCGTATGGCC